AAATGCTACAGACTGAACGGTAGTGTACCCATTATCAGAAAGTTTCTTGATATCAGAAGCATTAATGCCAAATTCCTTAAAGTTGTAAAAATAACATGTCAGAATGCTGAAATAAAAACGCGTATCTAACAAGGAAATAGGCGATAACGGACCTCAAGCGTTGAAATTGGCATATAAATCATTCCTTGCTCCTGTTCTTGTTCTTCGTCAGTATATTCATCTTCGATAGATTCTTTTTCATGAGACATCATTAAAGTTAAGTATAATGAAAGTGTGCTAAACGTGAGAAAAGTTTGAAACGCGTGTTCTTACGGCAGTTATATTAAAATTAGGGATCTACATACCCGGCATAGTATCCTAGCCATGGTGACAAATTTTGTTGCTAAATGAGATTCTACTTGAACAGTCGCATCCTAATTGGATGAAAATTCAATTGTAATTATTTTTTTCATATTTATATAGAATCAGAATAAAAAAATTTCTTGATTTTAGATAGATAGTTGTCGAGATATCTTCGCTCAAAGTTTTGAATTATCATCAAGACAAAGCTGCGGCAAATTTTTTTCTAAACTTTGAGCGAAGATATCTTGACAACCAACTATCTAAAATTGATGAATTTTTTTTTTTTTTAATTATACAGGCATATAGAATCAGAATTAAAAAATTTCATCGATTTTTAGATAGGTGGTTGTCGAGATATCTTCTCTCAAAGTCTAGAAAAACTTTGCCGCAGCTTGTTTTGATAATTATCCAAGTTTTTTCTAAACTTTGAGCGAAGTTATCTAACTACCTATTTAAAATTGATAAAAAATTTTTTTTATTTTAATTATACAGGCATATATAATCAGATTAAACAAATTTCATCAAGTTTAGATAGATGGTTGTCGAGATATCTTTGCTCAAAGTTCGGAAAAAACTTTGCCACAGCTTCTGTTTTTACAATTATTCGAGTTTTTTCTAAACTTTGGGCGAAGACATCTCGATAACTAATTTAAAATTGAAAATTTTTTTATTTTAATTATACAGACATATAGAATCAGAATAAAAAAATATTTAATAATGTTAGATAGGTTGTTGTTGAAATATCTTCGCTCAAAGTTTAGAAAAAACTATCACAAAATTTTAAGAAAAGATGCTTAATTTTGGATTTTTTTTATCAAAATCTAAAATTAAGCATCTTAAAATTTTAAGAAATATCAAATTAAATATATTGATATGACATATTTTTATACACTAAACAAGTTTGTTTAGAGTATAAAATCATAACCGTTTTAGTAATTTTATTAATAAAAATACTAAAGAATGTTATAATTCTCAATATTTTACTAATTGGTTCTAACTTCATCTACGTAGCATATTTACTTTTATATTTCTTGAAATTTTAAGAGTTTTTATATTGGATTTTTTTTTACAAAAATCTAAAATTAAGCATTTTTTAAAAATTCTAAAAAAAATAAAATTAAATATATTGTTATAATATTTTTATATAGAATCCATTAATAAAATTTTAAGGATACATTTTTTTAGTATTTTTATTAATAAAATTATATAAAATATTATGATTCTCAAAATCTTACTAATTTATGCTAGAGTTTCGCATTGTGACTTCATCAACTGAACATATGGAAGTGGTGCGTTAACTGGTGTTATTGATAATAATACCCTAGAGGAAGATCAAATTGCTGCAATATGCTTTGAGGTAACAAAAAAATTTACTTTTTTATTTTATTCATTTTTCTAAGGTTATTATTTTTTATATTTATGTATTTTTATATTTATGTTATAGACTTGTAAAGGTCTTCAGCATCTTCATGATCAAAATGTGATATTAAGGGTGTTCTCAAGCTCCTAAGTCAATCTGTCGGAATGGGTCTGAGAGTAAATTTTAATTAGTAAAAAATAGTTTAACGAATCGATTGTACTTATTATTCCAATGAATAAAACATGTGATGGTAGTTTAATATGTCAGTGAGAAAAATTTAATTAGCGGAAGATTGTTTAACCGATCAAGGGTTTTTTTTTCCATAGGGTTGCGTTTATTGGCTGAAATTTTTCATTGATTGATTAGAAAAATTAATTGTTCTCCCTTTGCATTGTAGATCTTAAAAATCGTTACTAGTGCCAACGGATAATATATTACAGAAAACATATAAATTTATATATTCTTAAAATTTATTTATATATTGATTACTTCTTTGGATTATCTATTTGATTTATTTGTCGCAGTAGGATCCGGAAAAGTTGGGTTGAACATTTTTGTTGTGCAGTAACATATAAAAGTTCGCGAGGTCTGAAAAAGAAGCGACAGGAACTATATTTTTTTGTTAATTTTTCGGTTTCATTTTTTTTATTTCAATCAATATTTTAATTTATCGTAATACTTGAGCATCATAAACTAATCACATCGAGGAAGATACGTGAGCGTAATCCAATTATACTACCATTCGTCCTATTGAACTTCAACGATGGTCTAATTAAATATTACTATAATGGTTGTGCACTATCACAATCACTAGCTAATCACATCGAGCGTGCTGCTTGAGAACACTCTTAATCAGAATATTTTATTATCAACCTATATATGTAATTTTTAGTTACCTTTCAATTTATTTATGATAATCATTCTGAGCCTAGATATTTGCTAATGTAAATTTACCAGTTTTATTCACGATGTATGTATCTGTATTGCCGGTTTGTGAATTACTATATAATATAAAATATAGTCGGTGCTTCAGCTGCTTTTATATTTTCCAGTAACCGAATCATCGAATCTAAGTCTTCATTCGTTCTTCTTTTCATATTTACTTTTGCATTGTTTACATTTGATCGCGTTTTACGATCAGTTAACCCCAGTATTACAAAATACAAAATATTTGAAAAATTATTATTATTATAAGTTTTAAATTAATTATCAATAACATAAATAATAACTTGCTTATTATACTTAGCTAACATATAGCAACCAAGAAATAACTTGAGTATATAATAAATGGCTGATATGTAACTACCAAGAAATAACTTGGAAATCCTCCGACTTAATGAAGTACTTACTACCGACTAAGAGTGTTCTCAAGCAGCACGCTCGATGTGATTAGCTAGTGATTGTGATAGTGCACAACCATTATAGTAATATTTAATTAGACCATCGTTGAAGTTCAATAGGACGAATGGTAGTATAATTGGATTACGCTCACGTATCTTCCTCGATGTGATTAGTTTATGATGCTCAAGTATTATGATAAATATTGATTTGAAATAAAAAAAATGAAAACGAAGAATTAACAAAAAAATATAGTTCCTGTCTCTTCTTTTTCAGACCTCGCGAACTTTTATATGTTACTGCACAACAAAAATGTCCAACCCAACTTTTCCGGATCCTACTGCGACAAATAAATAAAATAGATAATCCGAAGAAGTAATCAATATATAAATAAAATTTTAAGAATATATAAATTTATATGTTTTCTGTAATATATTATCCATTGGCACTAGTAACGATTTTTAAGATCTACAATGCAAAGGAAGAACAATTAATTTTTCTAATCAATCAATAAAAAATTTCAGCCAATAAATGCAACCCTATGGAAAAAAAAGGATGTCTGGGCCTCCATCTCTTGTTAATTGGAATGATAAATACCCTTGATCGGTTAAACAATCTTCTGCTAATTAAATTTTTCTCACTGACATATTAAACTACCATCACATGTTTTATTCATTGGAATAATAAGTACAATCGATTCGTTAAACTATTTTTTACTAATTAAAATTTACTTTCAGACCCATTCCGACAGATTGACTTAGGAGCTTGAGAACACTCTAAATATAAAATGAAAACTTTATACATTTTTAAATAAAACTTAACACATTAAAAATTAAGAAAATGAACTATGTTACAAACACAAAATTCAGAATTTGTTAACACATGCATCGGGTGTATTATAGCTCCGCTTTCGGACAACCCTATAAAATGGATTGTGTAAAATTTGTACATATAATATTCGTGTTGAAATAGACAGAATGGCATTTTTTTAGATATTTTTTCACACATTTAAAAAAAATATTATACAAATATTTGTATTATACAATCATTTTCATAGAGCAAGTTATATTATATAAGATATCAAAAACAAGATTTGTATACAAACGCAAAACTAGATATGTTCTGGCTCATTTCATGATTTCGATCAATTTCAGATTGATCTAAGATAATTCTTGAATTTTCGCTGATTCCGAAATGAATCAGATCAATTCTTTATTGGTGTAACAAATAAGCACCAACTAATTTATTTATATAATTGGTGATTATTTGTCACAGATGATAGGTTATATCTGAAATTTAATAAAAATTTAGAACTCAGAATTATTAAATTTCCTACAAATCTATTGTGTATATTAAATTAATTAATGCAAAAAGAGAATGAAAATAAATAAAGCCATTGAATTGTAATTTTAAATACAACCTTCTTATTTTTTTAAAAAAAATGGAACAATACAATTTTCTGACACATGAAATCTTTGATTAAATATTAGAAACTTTTATCTGTTAAAAGAAAAACAAATAATGCTTAATAGATCAGAATAAATACAAAAATATAATCAATGTTTAATTGTATTTAAAAATCTCAGCAATTCACAAACCCCAAAATTTAAATGCTGGATAACTAATAATTTTAAAATTCTTTATATTGATGTGATTAAAGAATTTTATACAATTAAGAGTAGAGTGTATGTAGATCATTTTTCATATAATCTTATGTGTATATTAGATTTTTATATAGTAAATAAAAAATGCTTCTAATAAAACTTCTTAATATCTTAACTAATTTGTATAAAATTTATATAATATATAATTTAAACAGCTTATTTATGATATTGAAGTAGAATCTAAATATTGTAATTAGAATAACACTCTTTCCGACAATCACATGGTCAACAACATTTTACCGAACTACAGTCAGCGATATAGGAAAGCAACATAGTGGACATAGCAATAGTCTTGGTTTTGCACTAAGCAAACTTGTTGTCAACGAAGCTTACAATATGTGAAATACCGAAGAGCGGGTGTATAAGAATATTAGGTGAGTTTGTGCCTTGGGTCAAGTTTTGCTTTCTTCGACGGACTCCCTCGCACGTTTGGCATCTAAACTAAAAGGTTTATTCTAGAAACAAGTAGAGCAAAGTTTCTGGGCAAGAATATCAAGTAGATACTTAGAAACTAGACTATACAACTATAAAACTTACAAGAAGA